GAATTAATAAACGAAAAAAATTTAAATATATAAATAGTATCACACATTTTTTAAAAATATTTTTCTGTAATGATAATCATGATACATATGTGAAAATATGTAAAAATGACATATTTAGAAGAACTATATAGCCAAAAACGTAGATAGCTATTACATACAGGTGCCTGATACAAAATTGCCAAAGCTCACTAATCTATTTTAATTAATAATTTAGAAATCTACGTGGTCGTTTGCAAAATTGTAGAGGACTTTTTTATATTTGTTTGTCTTCATATATATGAATACAATATGAATTCATGTATACAAAAAATACAATGCAAATCATACTTACTGTCACATTCTTTACCGTATGCCGCACATTTGCACACCCATTCGCTAATTAATAACTTCTTTAATTAATAACTCTTCTTTAATTAATAACTCATAATTTTACGTAGGTGCTTGCGAGTAAGTAAAGAAATTTTTTATTCAGTTTGATCTCATCTTACCTTGTATATATACTAAGTGAAACATTTTTAGGCGAAGTAATAAACGATTACGGACTTAAAATTGTTAATTACAGAGGTATACAGCGATGAACCTGAACCTATCGTGGGTGGCGACGTGGCATCGCCTGGACAATTTCCACATCAAGTCTCCCTTCAGAGAAGCAAAAGCCATATATGCGGAGGAACTCTTATTAGCGATATACATATCCTCACTGCTGCTCATTGTATACCGTATCAACAAAGTCAGAGGGATCGCTTGGTCCGTAAATAACAGTAACTAGTAAGAACGATCTGTTCGATTATATTGATTTTTTTATATATACATTATAAATAATATATAGAAAAATTAGAGACGCGGTAATTTTTATTTCTAACGCTTTGTATCATCATTTTCTAATTTACTCTACTGCTTCTATCTAATTTAATAAAAATATTCGCAGACTGTTGTGACTGGATCAAACAACGTACGAATTGGTGGTCAACGACATGAAATCAAGTGCATTCAAGTGCATGAAGACTACAATCCTCTCTCACGTATAATAAACAACGATATCGCTTTGATCACTGTAAGCATAATTCTCAGTTCTCCTAAAGTGCGTAAGGAAATATGATGTGTACACGACAATTTAAAACGCTTTTTTTCTCGTAGTTAAAATCGCCGATTAAGACCAGCAAAGTCCAAGCTCCAATTCCTATAGCGAGTAAAGATTATGCCGATGGCAACCATAATGCTATAGCAAGTGGATGGGGAAATCTCGGCTTACACGAAAACATGCCGACAATGCTTCAATATCTCGTAGTGAAGGTTTTGACACATAAGGACTGCCAGACAGCACATCCAAGCAATTCTGTGAATCAAATATGTACCTATCGTGACTATGGGCAAGGTCTTTGCCATGTGAGTGTCTTACCTTATTTTATGCATAATGATCTGAAAGTAATTGTTCATACGTACGCGTATCCTCATTGAGAACAAGAAACGAGTTGAAAGAGTTACTAATTTAAAACATACAATTTTTTAGGGTGACAGCGGAGGTCCTCTCATTTGTAACGATCAACTTGTTGGTATTGTCTCCTGGGGCAAACCCTGCGCTGTGGGTGAACCTGATGTATTCACTAATGTTTATACGTATCGGGCCTGGATTAAAGAACATCAGAAGAAGTGCTGATCATTCTAATAATCACAGTTGACCGGCGATCTATATTCCAAACATTACCAAGAATTTTCAGTTAAAGCGTGTGAAACACGTTGCTACTGTCATTAATACGTTCTATAGAAGTGATATAAAGGCATAAAATAAACAATAAAAAAATATAATTAAAAATAAATTATGTATTTCTCTTCCCGACATAAACTTTTTTTTTATGAAACCAATAATTAATCTAAAGCTGTGTATGGAGAAAAATTATTATAATAAAAATTGCAACAAAAACTTTTGGAATTATATGGAGAGTGTGACTGAAACTATTAAATATTTACTTAAAAGTAATATGCAGCCATCAGTATATGAAAAAATGTGTCTTTTTTTCGCTACGATTTTAGTATTAAGGTTTTCAAAGTCGCAGAATCCTAATATGATACTAGAATTTCAAAATTCAAAATAGCGGACCCAATATGGTGGATTAAATCCAATAATTTTTTCAATTTTTATCCGCCATATTAGATTTACTATCTTGAATTTTGAGATTCAGATATCATATTTGCATTCAGTGAAGCTTCATACATATTAAGCTTCATACATATATATAAGCTTTCAAAAAGGTTTCAGAAACATTAAACTTTTCTGAGATCTTCCTGAAATCTTTCTGAAAGCTTTTTGAAACTTCTGTGCTCTGTGGGAAATCAGTTTATTTTAAGAGATATATATATTTATGTGTGTGTGCGTGTGTGTGTGTGTGTG